AAGTGTTCAAATGAAATGCAAGATGAAGGTTTGGTGGTGAGAACTTCTCTTTTTGGGATTCTTCATATCTGGCTAAACTCAATACCTGGACCAACCTTTTCACCTAAGGGTCCCATTTATTTTTCTTTGTTTAAAGCTTGGAAGCAAATCCATTACTTCAAATTGAAGTGGAGCCAACCTCGGAGGTAAGAATTGAAGAGGGATGAAGCAACTTTTTCCAGAGGCTGCCCAGAACTTGGCAAAATCCACTGAAGCCTTTGATGACGCAGAGGACATGGGGTGGGGTGTGTGTGTGTGTGTGCTGTGGCCCTGTTTGATGGATGTTCTAACTCCAGGACAATTAATGATCAGTGACCCCTCCCGACACCCAGGCCTAATGGGCCATTATATGGTGTGCATCATGGAAAATCTAGTTGAGTGGCAGTTGGTAAGAGATTTGCATTCTTAGTTTAAAAATCAGCTCGGGGCTGGGTGAGTGTGACAAGGGGGATGTGCCCCACTGCCTTTGAAAGACTATGTGGGAGCAGGTGGGGCCTCAGGGATTCTGAGCTTGGCAGAGTGTTGAGAATGTTCTGGGGCTTCTTTCCACCTGCCCAAGCCACTGGAGTTGTAAATGAAATGTTCTGGGTGAGAACCACGGAGTCCTCACCCCTCAGCTTTGCCAGTGTGTCCTCAGCTGAAAGGAATAGAGTCAGGGTTTCCAGAGAAAATCATGTCCTTTTCCAGAACTATCGTGGTAGTTGGAAAATGATCCTGGGAGAAGCCAGTGTTTCCTGTGTTGTTTTTCCTTACTGTGTGGTTGGGGGCAGCTTGCTCAGGTATTTTGGGTCAAGAAGCCACCTTCTCAGGTGTCTCACCAGGCCCCAGAGCCTCTGGGAATCACCACTGGATCAGGAACTTTCTGTTCCTGAACTCCAGCAAAAGAATCCAAGAGGCAGGGCACCTCCTAGACCCAGGCACTCCCAGACACCATGTTGGGAAGGTGGGTCCCTGGACCTTGAGTATTTAACTCTAGTGGTGGTCACATCCAAGTGTACCTGAGTCATGTGGCATGGTAAAAATTCAGATTCTTGGTCCCGGCCTACAGATATTTTGCTTCAATAGATCTGCATGGGGCCCAGGAGTCTGTATTTTCTCAGGCATCCCAGCAGATGTTTGACACAGATGGTCAGGTCTGTGCAGAGAACTTAATAAGTCTTCACCTTATTTAAAACCTCCTGCCACCATCCGCACCACCACCTCCCCCAGAGCAGATTTTATTGTCTCAACTTTACAATGAAGAAATGAAGGCTCAGAGAAGAGAACTAACTTGTTCAAGGTCACACAGAAGCCAGGTTGCAGCTGCCTTGGTCTGGAGCCCATTCTATTAACCTCTCCCTCCACTGTCTCCTTCCCTCCTAGATGCTATAGGAACTTCGGGCCTCTGGCCTGTAGCTCTGACCTCTCCCACTTTCTGAATGATCAATTCCAAATTCCCTGGGGGGAGCAAAAGACACTCCACATTGATGGTTGTCACATGTTACATGCAGATGCATGATGTACCCATATTTTAGTCTGTTGTCCTTATCCCATGCACCTAAATAGGCAAGCCAAAATAGCACAGGAGAATAGGAAGGACATCGGATATTAGAAGTCCAGAGACCCAACTTGTGGTCCTGACTGTTGTCCTTATCCCATGCACCTAAATAGGCAAGCCAAAATAGCACAGGAGAATAGGAAGGGCATCGGATATTAGAAGTCCAGAGACCCAACTTGTGGTCCTGACTCTGCCTGGCTGTGTGACCTAGAGCAAGGCACATCCTGGGATGACCAACCATCCCAGTTTGGCCAGGACTGAGGGGAGTCCTGAGATGTGGGACTTTTGGTGCCAAAACCAAGAAAGGCCAGCAAACTGGAATGGGTGGTCCCCCTAGCGTTTCTCCTCTCTGAGCCTCAGTTTCCCCCCTTAGCACAGGCAGCTGGACTCTCATGGTCTCCCTTTCAGCTTGTTCATTGCAGTAGGATTGTAGACCCGAGCTACCTGGGGAAACAGAGAGATATATGTCCATACCAGCCGCGAATGCACATAGAGATGCGTCCAGACCTCCACACACACACGGGACCCAGCAGGACCACACTGGGGGTCAGGGAGAAGCGGCAGGAATGGCTCTGACCTCTCTCCCCCTCCATCCACAGAACGAAGAAGGCCATGATGAGGCTGAGGAGTCGGAGGATGACTTCGAGGAGATGAACCTGTCCCTCCTCTCAGCGCGGAGCTTCCCACGCAAGGCCAGCCAGACCAGCATCTTCCTTCAGGAGTGGGACATCCCCTTTGAGCAGCTGGAGATCGGTGAGCTCATTGGAAAGGGCCGCTTCGGGCAGGTGTACCACGGCCGCTGGCACGGCGAGGTGGCCATCCGGCTGATCGACATCGAGAGGGACAATGAGGACCAGCTAAAGGCCTTCAAGCGGGAGGTGATGGCCTACAGGCAGACACGGCATGAGAACGTCGTGCTCTTCATGGGTGCCTGCATGAGCCCGCCCCACCTGGCCATCATCACCAGGTCAGTCCCACCCGCGCTCTCCACCAATTTGCTAAGCTCTGCTGAGAAATTTGCTTCTGGTTAATTTAGCTTTCTGGTGAACAGAGCATCTTCAGCTTTACCTTTCATAGTTTACTTAAGTGGTTTCAAGATTTAAGATTTCAGAAAATACTTAC